CGAATTTCGTAATTGTTATTTGACACAGAGGAGACAAACAATTTTGGATTCTGTGTATCGCGTCTTTCTAGCCTCGAGTCTCTCTTTTTCTCTCTCTCTCTCTCTCTCTCTCTCTCTTTGCTTTTTAGCTCGCGCTTTCATTCGACGTGACATTTTACCGAAAAACTCGTTAATATTTAGTTGTCAAGGAATAAACAAAAATAATGTTTAACCGCGTTGTATGGATGCCTATGCGTCGGAACGAAATTTTCACAGAGAAGTAGCAAAACATTGCGAACTGTCTTCGTTATTCACAAAATTATGACTCGCTTCCGCTGTACAAGTTAGAATGAATTTTATCGATCGGTTCCGTGAAATCGTCGATTTGAAACGGCGAAATTTTTATATTGCCAAGCTTAAAACAAACGCACTGGTCTAAAAAATACGTCTTCCATTACTGTTTTTTAAGATTGTTAGAATGCCATAATGATTAGATAACCTAGTGACTTATAATTCCATAATCTATAATTGAAATATTGAAATATTTCTTTCTGTTTCGCGTATTATATCGCGAGGATTGCAACATGTAACCAAATTCTGAGAAAAAAATTGCCCATTTATGATAATATTTTACTCTGTTTGAAAGACATTTTTCCTTTTCGTTACGTAAGTAAAATAGTAAGATAGTTTATATGAAGTGAGTGGCTAGAAAGAATTGGCAAATCTTAAGTTATGCCTATATAATTATTTGTTTAAGAAAATCAAACTTCAAGCATGAAGGAAAGAAAAGAATAATGATGAACAAATAAATTTTTGGCTGATTACAAGTCAAATAGAATGTAAATATCGGCTGCGATAAGATAAATCGGCTCGATATAAAAGTCGGTTCGGATGGATTAAATTTATTAGTTTGCCGGAAATAAGAAACAGTAGCACGTCATTAATTCTTGACGACTGGCGACAGAATGAGAGGTAAGTAATCCAAATTTGTGTTAACAATGTCTTGTCGAGTAAGAATTTATACGGAAATAAAAAAGATATGGCTTGATTCAAATGAAACGGCAGATGTTAAATAATAAAATAAGTAGTAAAACAGAACCATCGAGTTAGTTTGTTTCTAAAAAAAATGCCGAACTTGTCGATACGTTCTAAACGCTGAATAAAAATCTACGATCGAAAATATGAATTGTGAAAATCATATTAATATTTAAAATCATATTAATATCTATCTCTAATATAATCCTATTAAATAATGTTTCCTTCTTGTAAATTTCAGTGTTGTACGTATTGTTCGTTGCGATCGTTGTAGCGGCGGCGGACGAAGACGCGAATGATTGTGCTAATGAAAATAAAATCTCCAAAAACTGCGAACAAAATGAAGATTGTCTCCGTGTAATAGGCAGTAATGAAGCGCAGCATATTCCTTATCTCCAGGACTGTCATAAATTTTACAAATGCGCGGAAGGAAAAGCATGTCTAATGTGCTGTCCAAAAATGAATTCCACCGGGTCGGAACGATTGGTTTTTAATCCGGAACTCCAGGTCTGTGATTGGCCGCAAAATGTAAAAAATCCAAAAGGAAAATGCGATGATGTGAACCCAACTGAACCCCCGACGACATCAACTGAACCCTCGACCACATCAACTGAACCTTCGACGACATCAACTGAACCCTCGACGACATCAACTAAACCCACGGCGTCACCAACTAAACCCACGGCCTCACCAACTAAACCCACGGCCTCACCAACTAAACCCTCGCCGACACCAACGGAAAGTCCGAAAAGTGAATGCCAAAGTGGAGGAAGCACAAGCATAAAACACGAAAATGACTGCACAATGTATTACAAATGTAAAAATGGAACAAGAGAAGGACCTTTTCGATGCGGCAACGGTCTTGTTTTCAACCCAATTATAAGTAATTGCGATATACCAAAAAATTACCCTTCATGTCGCCCCCGAAATCCCGAATATTTCGATAACTGAAAAAAAGAGGAAAGATCTCTTTATTTCAACAACACACGTTTCGAGTGTTATCAATTGAACAAGAAAAGAAAAAAAGAAGAAACATCCAAGATCGGAGGAATGTGAGTCGCATAGATTAACTTCACTCTATGTAATTCTTTGTAATTAATATTCGCAATGTATTATAATATACATATTGTGAAATCTTAACTGATAATAAAACGTTGCAGAATGTATCAAATAAAATACTTGTTGTTTACTTTCAATTGACACACGTGCAAGTCGTCACCTTCATCCTTGTTCCAATTCGAAAAAGGCTTATCTCTAATCGGGAACTTGTTCACTAGGAGAATAATTATTTCTTTGTTACAACGTTGACAAGCAATTTAAACGAAATAAGTGACAGACAATTTGAATGACAATTGGGCGTCGTGAACAGGGCACGGAACATGCAAAGTATTTTTTTATTGCAAGTCACCGTAGTATTTTTCAATTGTGTCTAATACGTGACAGGGTCTAGTGTCGGTCCGTGAAGTGTCCTCCTCGGTAGAATCATAGTTTCCCAGCTCGCCAAGAAATCGGCTCTCTTCCTGCTTCCTCTTTCCGAATTTCGGTTGCTGCGATCGTTGAGAATTCTCCATCAGGACTGTTTTCATCGTGTCCCAAACATAATTCACGTCTGGTACAGATGGTACAACGTGTCCCCTTTTCCCGTACCTATTCATGCATTAGATACGTTACAATAATGTTATAATTACTTTATTACGCAAGTATCTGTATCCGCAAGTAACCATTTTCATTCGAACTATCAATCAGCGAATCTATCATTATAATATTCGATCGAAGGTTTCGTTTTCGAAATGTTCTATGATTACCTCGCTTTCCCACTGTGAGAGTAATAATCACTAACATGATCGAGATATCGTCTCAGTTCTTCCGGACTTGTAAATATTTCTGGCCGAGTTGGTCTGGCCATCGGGTCCGGTTCACCATGAACAACGACAGCTCCAAAAATAAAAAGCACGAGATACAAGCAGATGCTATTCGAACGCGAATGCATTCTTCTCGTCAAAAGTCACTGCAAAAGAAAAGAGAAAACAGAGAGAAATTTCAAACATTTCTTTTTTTTTCCCACAATAATACGCGACAGTTCTTCGTCATGTTTAGCAATGAAACACAATTATATCCAACGTTCGTAAATCAAGCGGAAACTTCCACTTGTTTAAATTCCTCCGCCTGGTGAATCAATTACCTACAACCTGTTTCAATAGAAATTAGTATCGCTTTCGATGAATATCGCATTACGAAACGAAACACGTTTTCCAATTTCTATTAATTCACTTCGGTTTAACGTATCGCGGTTGTTTCATGCCCGATACGCAGAAGCAGCATTCATGTAATAAAACCGTGAATTTTTAGTTCGAAATTAACTCCATCCATCAACCATGAAAAGTAATTTAGAACAATTCCGGATAACATAATACAAGACTCAGGACAATAATTTGAACGTCAAATGGGAATTAAAGACGAAGTCGAGTTACTTGTTGCTCGTTTGCTGCAACTTCATTGAAAGTCGAAAGCTTCCCGCGGCAAGTAGTTGATGGCTTAAAATTGAATATCGAACAGGCGTTGGTCAACTTGTCAATTCACGTTCGAGGATTCACCGTGCCCGGGAAGTCCTCGGTCGCAATAGTTTTCGGAAATTCTCAAAGTTTCGCGAAACTAGTCCGTCGACTCGATCGTCCTTCGTGCGATGATTTTACGGATAATACGAATTTCGCAGAAATCACGGAAATTCAAAAACCAGCGAAAATACTAATTAACTCTCGCAGTGTCGACGCGATGCTTCTTTCTCTTGTTATTTTATCATTTTTTCGGCTTATAAACTGGACCGTGAGTTCTCATGGAAATTCATATTTTTGAAAAATATGAGCGAGGAAAGAAGATAAAGTCTCGATAGGAAATTGTTTCACGCACTGCGTAAACGTATTATAGAACGTAGTACATTTTGTCATATTACGTGCAATTTTCCACTCGAAAGTTTTCCACACGCGTATAAAACACCGCCGTAATATAGCACGATACGAGTAAATTAATTTTAACAAACGGTTCTCCAAGGATTAACAAATTCGTGATTTTTTAAAATGATATTTAAAAACGCGAAAATACAGTAGAGATATTAAAATAAACCTCTACATTTAAATAAGATAGAATAAAATAAACCTCTATTTAGATAACATTTCTTTCGGTATTTTATATTGATAAACTTGTATAAAACATTCGCAGTCAACAATATGCGAGCTTCGTCCAAGGAATTAATTTGCGTTACAGATCGATTTCTCGAGAAGAAATGTCGAATCGTGTGTCTTCTCGTTTTATAGAGATCCGTGGTCTAAGGGAATACACGTCGCGTCGTTCGATGCAAATTAGCTACATAAAAGATATATATCTCGTATAAGCTTGATAATCCAGCAACAAAACTGTTTGTAAAGAACGAATATTCTCGAGAAAGATTTCACATTCGCAAGATTTCGGGCGTTTTTTCGTGTCGCGTCATTTTACAAATGCATTAACCTTTTACACTGCTTCCTACTACGTCCCGCTGGTAGTTGGAAATATGAAGAACAAGGCTTAATTAACGGAAACTTGTTAATTCGAAAGTTTAATAGAGGAACGAGTGCAACTACGCACAATAATTTAACTATCAGCGGGCAGTTCATTTGCATCGATCTGGCCGAAACGTAGAATTTATATTCATGAGAAGCGAAACGACACGAGGCGAGACGATGATTTCTCACTGAATATGTAAAACCGATTGTCGTGCAGTGATAAGTGCCGACGTGCATCAAATAATAATTGGAAATAACGAGTTTATCCAACGAGTTGATCGCAAAATGTTATGTTCAAGTGGAAGTCCGACGATTACAAGTCGATCTTACGAAATTTGAATTCTAAAAGCTATTCGAGTAGACGTTTAACGAAACAAAAAAAATCTAATTTGTAATCACGCGTCTCAGTTTCCAGCGACGAATTATTTTTATGAGGAATGCGAGATTATTTTCGCGCACGCATCGACGAAAAAGGAAACGTTTGAATTTGAAGCGACGGAACTACATTCGCAAAAACTGAATCGAAACTTCCTTTATTTACAAGTGAATAATGTTTCTCCATTATACAGGAGAATTTAAATATACAAAATTGCACAGAGTTCAACGTAATGCGAGAAAGTGTGTGAAATATTCAAAATAGTGAAACACTTTTTTGTACCGAGATTTTATTTTTTAAATTTAAAAAAGAAAAATAAAATCGAATTTACATAATCTACAAAAATATTATCACACGCGAAAATGTTATAAATGTTTACCGGTCAAATGAAGGCCAGCTTGAACTTTAGAACGTACAGTTCATAATCCTAACGATATTTCGATAAGAATTCGTTTCGTGCTGACGCGAATGTGAAATAAGTGCTTCCATCGACGAGGGAATTCGATCGCAAGTTATTACTCACCGATCTCGAGTCCGCTGAGACGACAAAAAATTCCCGTATCCCGTCGGAATATTCAGAAGTTGAAATCGAATCGGCCGCTCGCACTGCAGGACGGGAGTATATATACCTGGGAAGGCAACCCTCTGGCGCATCCCCTCGGCGGCAAATCGCGTAACGCGCAGCCAATCCACGAGGTTCAACCCCACCAGTCACCTTTCCCACTATCCTTCTGTTGATCCCTTTTCCCTTCGATCATTAGCCGAACAATCCAAAGGATCGATCGCATCGATTTGTACTCTCTGCAATTTTTATCAGGAGTCAACCTTTTAAATTACTTCTCCACGTTATGGAAATGTTACGAGGAGACGACGTATGCCGTGGTACCAAAGTTTGATGAAAAATAAAACGCTTTTCCAAAGGGGATGTCGCCGCATGTTCAACGTTCCTCCCTAAACAGTTCCCTGTTCGCCAGCAATAAAACTCGTTGCAAAAGTGTAATCAGATTGTCTTGCGGTTCCGGTAGATTTTATGAAGCCTGCTGACATCATTGCAGTAAAGACGGATACTCGCGAGCATTGGACGTTTTCTCCGATGAAAACTGTACAATAGTTTTAATAAATATCAACGGACTCGCGAATCCTCTTACAAAAAACAAAATCTCCTTGTTAGAACTATCTTAAAACTATCTTCACTGTCTCCTTTATAAATATTTGCACGCATTCGTAACGAAGCACGGTGGACAAGATCGAATGTTCGCCTTTCGAAAG